GTACAGTTTTTCAGTGTGGAGAGGAGAAAAGAAAGATAGATCTATACTCTACGAAGCCTGAAACAGATTGAAAAATTAAATTAAAATAAAAAAAGCACCAAACACTAATTCCCATGATTTAACAAATGCACACAACAAAGTTTCATGAAACTAACAGTACAAAAATTCATTGCTAGAAAATACTGTGCCATTACCAATCCAAGAAAGGATTAAAAAGAAATAAGAAAAATATTCTGTATGTTAAGTCTAGTTACAAAATCCCTAACTTCTCAATTATGGTTTGATGATTTAAACTCATCTAAAGATGAGATTAAAAGTCATTGCTGCACAAAGATGTCAACTTGAGAATATGCTAAACTTTATTGTTAAATTGTAACTTGTTTAGATATATTCTTTTGTTTATGTAGTAGCCAACAAATACTATATAAATTGTCTTTGCACAATTACTTACGTGAACATAGTTATTCATCTTTGTAAATTATGAAGTCCCAGCATCCTTAGAGATATTCCAACTCTTCAGAGGTAAAAACTTTTCATTACAGACTATGCAACGTCTAACATGTTGATAGCTCCCATATAAGTTACTGCTTTCACATCCATTTAACAAGAACAATAAAAATATTTCCATTCAAAAAAATCAATACTATGCTCTTAAGTTATGTATTTTTTGTTTGCACAGTCTGCAGTACTTATTCTACAGCAAGTACCAATCTGTTTCTGTGATGACTTATTTATTACTACTTTACTTCTCAGACAAGTCACAATATTGATAAAACTATGTAACTTCTGAAATTATTCTGTTTGTAAATTATATACAGTTGCTTAGAGGAGTGATCATCAGGCTTATATAGGAATAAATATTGCCATGTATTACATGAAACTTCCATGATTGCAAAATGATACTCAGTTTTTGGTTGCTCCTGGGAAGGAAACACAGAATGCTTTGAAACTTAACAGACGTTACCTGAACTTCATTGCCAAACTAACTAATCAAGCAGAGCCAGTCTGAAAAAAGTAAAAATTCTTTTTGAATGAAAATATTACTAAAGATTACACTACAAGGTTGGCAAAAAATCCAAATGGAACCAAAGAAGAGCCATAAGTCATAACTAAGCAAGTTATTTCACTGTTCTGCCAGGTACTCATGCACTAGGTCAGGCAGTTTTGGTTTGAACTCAATATATTTGATGTATACCAGAACTAACAGCTGGAGTGCCAGCTAAACGACTGAACAGGCACTCATGTGTACATCAATGTTTATTAATTCTCAATCAGCTTAAGCACTGGGAAACGGGTACCTCGCACTGTATTCTTTCTAACATGAAAATTGTATTGGGATGCTTAGTCAACTCTGTAGATTTGGGATATATTACAATTTAGATAGATGAGTTCTCTGTCTTGACACGGTGGAGATATTGTTCTGAACTAAAATGCTCTCAGAATAAGTACAAATGAAGTGAAGCTCCCTTATGCTGGAATTTGACTGGAAATACATGTGTATGCAGCCAATTCAGCATCCCCACGTGATATGGACCAAAGGACCATTTGATTTCAAACAACAGAAGCAACATGTATGATTCTGAAAGACCTACAAATCTTCATTTCATAGGGTAAAAGGAATATCAGAATTAAAAGGACTACCTGTTACATAAAGAACTGTTTATCTAATTTTAAAGTCAATTCAAATATTTATTTATTGCAGCTTGAAATTCGAAGGTCAATGTCAAAATAGATCTTTTTTTTTCTTGAATTACTACAAGGAATCTTCACCCAAGTTGTAAGATACTGTGAACTGCAGCCTCAGTAAGATGGCCTCCATCTGCCATCTCTAAGGAGCTTCAAAGTGAATCAAAAGCTGGATTTTGGAAATGAAATAATGTTTTCTTTAATGTTCTGAAAAACTTAGTATTGTTTTTAATGCCTTCAGAAAGATGTTAAATCAAACATGCCAGCTGGTATGACATGCTGGTAAGTGCAATGCCAGTATTTAGTTGATGGAAAATATACAGGAATACAAAATTAATCTCTATAAATAATCAAAATGCTATTTTTCTTCAGTGTTTTACAGATTTAGCATCCAACGTGAATCATTATTACAGTGAATTTACTTACTTTCAGTGTGTTACCACTAAGATGTAGTAACTATATTTTTGAACTAAAACTATTTGTTTTAAATTTTATAATAATTTTAGGCATACAACTAGTATGTACTCAGTAATACTGTATACATGATACTGAATTTAATTTGGTTTTATAAATGAAACAGTATGTATAATATACTCACAGGTCCTTAACCAGTACTGTCTTTCTTGTACAGTTACAGCTCTGGTCATAACAGCAGATCTTTATATGGTAAAAACAAGTACAGAATTGGAACATAAATTTATATTTTTTCACCAAATACATAAAAAATTTACTGAGAAACACAACTTTGCATTTCAGCAGCTAGCAGGAAGTGACAACCTTGCCCTTGTGCTAAGTACTATGAAGTAAAAAAGAAGCAAAGAAAAAAAAAAAAAAGGACAAATCCAGCAAAGTATTATCTTTCTTTAAAATTCAATGCAGCTTTTAAACTTTAACAAGTGTAGTGAATGTATGACTGCTTATCAGTTTGGCAAACTTTCTACTAATTCCCATATTTTCTGTCAACATTTCCTGAATAAACAAGTAATAAAGAAGCAATGAAGCAGCTAATAATTACTAGCAGCACGGCAAGGATAAAGAAATATTAATTCTTTCATGCACAACTGTTAAAAATCTGTCAGGACTTCATGTCACTTGTGAAATGCCTGTGTCCAAAATCCCAACTCAATAGTACTGAGCTGTGAAATGAAACCTTGGAGAATTCTTTCTGCAAGTGGTAATGAACAATCTCACTAAACGTATTCTTTCAGCCAGCTGCTTTAATTTAGTTAGCCAACTTCTCAGTTTAAAGACAGTCTCTGCCAGCAAAAGAATATCACTTTCATGTCTCAGTCAGACAAACAAAATACATCATGAACAAAAGTTTTATTTATTTTTAATCTTAGATTGGTTTTGCTTTTATATTTCCCATTCTCATGCAGCAAATGAGATTTGTTTTAGATAACTTCTTTTTTTCTTTTTCGTTGTGGCAGTTTGGGGAAAGCAAAAAAGCAAAAATAATTGTGACTATGCTAAAGAAGGCTTAGAGATGGTACTAATAAGATGCATACTATTTCCATCTACCATGTCTGTTTAAAAATGCATCAATTAAATTACTAATCACTGAGTGTTGACTTTGCAGCTTTCAGATAAAGCTATCTTTTACTCTCTCTTGCAAAGGAGCCCAAATTTAGAAAATATAAATGATATAAGCATCTTTAAACCTTTACTAAATATCATGTCATTTTGACGCAATTAGGGTGTGTTACAAAAGCTACAGAATTCAGAGAACAGCAAAACAGTTGAAGTTAGAAGGGAACTCCTGAGATCATCCTGAGTCCAGCAACCCCAATCAAGTAACCTGCTACAGCAGATTGTCCAGAATCACGTCCAGCTGGATTTTTAATGTCTTCACAGATGGAGACTCTCCAGCACCTATGGGAAGCCTATGTTTTATCACCTTTACAGTAAAAAGTGTCTTCTCACCTTCAGATTGAGAAACTAGCTGTTCTCTCTGGATCCATTGTTCTTCATCCTGTCAGAGGGCACTACTGAGGAAGTCTAGCTCCATCAACTTCATTTCCATCCAAGAGGGAGGAAATCACACAAACTGACTGGTAAGATCCTCTCTGAGTCTTCTCTACTCTAGGTTAAACAGTCTTCCCTCTGAAAGATGAGAGATACTCCAGTCCTCTAATCTTTTTTGTGGTGTTTTACTGGATTTGCTCAAGGAAGGCTGTATCTACCCTGTCTTGGAACTGGGAGCAGACACAGAACAGGACATATTAGTATAGTTGACTAGGGAGTATTGCATATAATCTGAAAAAATATTATCATAATTTTTTTATTAAATTTGACATGGCTATCTGTGGAGCAAGTAAGCTTTTAGGTAGCAAAAGTCATGCTACATTAATGAAACGGATGATGGAAAGAAGGAAGCAAGAAGAGACAACGATGGTGTTGTTCTCTTTGGATTACAAATGCCAAAGAAAGCCAGATGAAGGGCAGGATATGTCCTCAGGTGTCATGTCAGAGAGAGGACAAGGGAGTAGCTATGAGCAGATAATCAAAGTCTGAGATCCAGTGATTTCTTTACAGCTTTTACTTCCTTGCTTTCTCTTGTTCTCCTCAGAGGAAATACTTGTAAAGGAACAATTCTACTATAATAGCAGTTAATAGTAACCGCAGTTTCCACTTGGTGAGCACAGCTGATGAAAACCAAGACTTAAACCAAAGAGTATATGAATTTTGCTTAATTTTTCTTACACATTCTTTAGACATATTTGGCACTAAAAGTGTAATTTGCTGTCAATCAATAGAAATGAAAAATTGAAACTAATGTCAGGAGATAATGTGAGAACTAATGGGACTGGGTTAATTATTCTCCTAAAAACAGGATGGAAATTATTTAGATTAGGTAGTAAGAAAAACAACTATAATTAAAAAAGACTCCACAAAGACTACTAGAGGACAGAGCATCTCTTTATACATTATTAATAAATTTCAATTTAAGGAGCTAGCAAGTTCTTATCAGTTAAAACAGGTAAAATAACCCAAAATATAATGCTTAACTTTTTAAAAAGAATGAAAAAGAGAAGAAAATTAGTTTCTACCACTTCAAAAATAGCACTGAATGGAAAAACATTAGAGGCGTAACCAGGCATTAGAAGTAAAAAAGAGATAAGGCACATGTTAGTGAAAAGCAATACCAGCTTTCCATGGTAGCAAATATAGAAACAACACTGAATGTTTATTTAATCATATACTATAGCAAAACACAATACCTGTTCAAAAGTTCAAAGCTGTTCACTGTGAATGCAATTTCACTTAATAGTACAGATTGCTTTTTTTCTATTCATCATGATTCTGAAGGATACTCAGTAGAAGAATGATGTGTGATTCTGCAACAAATTGAGCCTGACTGCTTCCATGTATGTAACTCTGAAAAACAAAAATAATAATAAAAAAAAGAATTCAATTGAAAATGACGCAGTTGGGCATATGTGAATGCAAATAAAATCTGTTTTGCAGAAAAATATAGACTGCAGCAGACATAGCTGAACAGCACATACATATGGATCTAAATTTAGTCAAAAGTAATGTTATAAACAACATTTAGGAAAATCATACATATACACAGGATGTAATACTTAATATAAAACATATAGTTCAGTTATTTTCACACTGCCAAAGTGGAGGAAATTATATGCATTAATTTGCTCAGGACATACAGAGAAGTAAAGCTGATGAAATCAAGGACATGCCTCAGCACAGGACTGAATGAAGTTAAAACTGAAACTTAAAATGCTGCCTTTAATAAGTCAGTCTGTTTTGCTCTTAGACTGACTGAAGTTACTTCATAAAAACTATATTCCATCTTTTTCAGTGAAAGTATTCTTAGATCCATAAAAAATCATAAATTAAATTCATACACAAAATGTTTCATTCGTATGAAATTGTAGTAAACACAACCATGGGTACTAAATTGAATAATTCCAAGTATTCATTGTTAATGAGCTCATTTTGTATGTTGCTTGTTAATACAGCATATAATTCAAAAATTGTTAGTGTTTATTTTTTACTAGCCATGATATCAAACAAGTAACAGGGACTGTAAATACATGAAATGAACAAAGTTCTCTCTTTTCTTCTACTGTATCAATTACAATTGTTCAATAGTTTGCTGTGCTACCAAATGTGAAATTAAATACAATTTGTTCTCAAAGTATTTTTATACATATTGCACAGATGCAAATTTCACCCCAATTAAATAGATAAAAAAATGCTCACTCCCGATAAGTTAAAGAAAAAGGAAACTTCTTGCCCTCCACATAGCTTCAGGGTTTTATTACTTTGCTTCTTCTAGCTCTAAGTTTTGCTTTAATTCATTTTATTTTGAATAGTTCTGCCTAAATACCATTGATGTCAAGATTCAGAACAATTCCAATTTGAAACGCTCTGACACTTTAGGATACAAAAGAATGCCTTAATCCACACAAGTTAAGTTCTGGTGAATTCACTGTCTAAATATGTCATTCATAAGATACTATAAGACATTTTTTACTCAATGGATGGTTATCTACTGCTTTTAAAATTCAACGTATTATGTTCATCCAAATCACTAATTCAAAGCTAAAGCACATAAGAGCTTCATGTATCTAAATACTCAATCTCTCAAGTAAAATGTCTTTTTTCCTCAACAAGATAAAGATTACTGATCTCATGTGATTACCTCACTGCAGTATGATTATGACAATAAGCCAATCTATATTTCCTGACTTTTTGTCAGGGCCCTTAATAAATCTCACTAAGGCAAAAGAGAGTGATATAAAAAAAGGAAGGAAATGGGAATATTTCATATTAAGAAAAAGTAAAGATGAAGTTAAAATGCTCTTTAATAGACTGATCCTTAATCACCATTCTTTGCTGCCGTGTGCAAAGTGGTATGAAAAATCTCTTAGCAGATAAAACCATAACTAGAGAACGCAATCCCACTGTCAATACAAATATTCACATTTACTCAATCAAATGCATCTTTGTATAAAACACAGGCTAGATTTAGATTGTTTTATCCACGATTTCCTCCAGCATGGTGATGAAAAAAACTGCTAAGATTTTGCTCTCCAATGTACTCTGAATCATTTGCAACCACAGTGCTGCAAATAGTGACTGTCACTATTTCTCATGCAGCTAAAGCAATACATACATACATAGGTGTAAATACATTTGCTGGATCTGCATTCAAGTGCACTTAACAGTACACATCTCTTTTTATTGCTATGACACCAAGTTATAACCTAAACCTTCTAATAATTAAATATATACTGTATTTGATAATATGAGGTGAAGTAAAATAAACAATGGACTTTCTAACAGAAAAGTGCAACACAGTCTAATAACACTATGTAGTTTATCACATAATCACTACTGGTTGCTGCCTACACATACTCTAAAATCTATGAAAACATGCAGTGGGAATGAAAAGAAATACGCTCTGTGTTTAAGAGTGAACATTATTATCTTCATTTAATAAAAGTGACTGTTGTATTACTGTTAAGACTATGAATACCTTCTGCATTTGTAAAATATTTAGGTAAGAGCGGTCATTTTTATTGACAAGCTTTATACTCATTTTACACTTTTATGTTAGCAATTTAAACCATTGTAACATGATTGATGGAACAGAATTCAAAGCATATTACATACATACACATAAAATAAGCACAGGAATCATTCTTCTCTTCAAACAGTCCACCAACATTACATTGTTTAGCTTTCATCCAAAGTTTTCAATTAGAAATCTTTACCTCGCTCTTCATTAAATTCCCCAAGAAATTGATTTTATGGCTAATGTAAGATATATATATTTATCTCATCATTATTTTTTTTTCATTTCAGGATTTTCCAGTAGCTGTTTGAGAAGCTTTCATGGCACAAAACACATCAGCAGATCAATCTCTCTAAAGATAAATCTTTAAGAACAAAAAATTATGAAAAGACATGTTCTCATTATCAATACTTAGATACCAAGATATCATCAGATGCTTAGAAAAATACATGGACTAGACAGAGTTCATTTGCAAACAAAAAGTTTGAATTAAACTATATCAAACAAAATGAAACATGGAAAGGAACCTGCCTAGAAGACCTAAAGCAAAGATTCTACTTTGAAAACTAGATGATGAATATGAATTTCTGGTTAAACATCTCAAAGGGATTGATGTTATATCTTTTAAAATGTGGGTTGCCAAAGGCATAGCCTTGCTTTCAAGGAAGCGGATGAACTTTGATTCAGTTCTGGAGACTTTATGTGCATATTAAAAAGCTAATAAGAACCAATTCTTACCTATTGCTCTTTCCCCAGAGGAGGGATAAGAATGGCTAAAAGTAAAGCAAGTATTTATCTTAACTGAGAAAAACCTCACCATCATAGCACAGTTAACTAAGACATAAAAAGATGTCAGATTAACTTAAAAGGGATATAGAAAGAACACTAGGTGAAATGTTAAATAGATGTTTATTGCCCATAAATACATATTTTTCGTTTTTATTTTATCTTTTTATGTTCTATTCCAAATTTGCTTAGGTAAGCTATCCTTTCAAGATATTTAGTAATAAACGTAAGGTAATCATGAGGCTCCTTAGACTGTTCCCCCTGCCACTATTCTCCAAACTCAGAACAACAAGATGGTACATCTCTACAACAGCAGCAGGTCACTGCAAGGAATGTCACTACAGAAGCTGAGAAAGTAGAAGTCTGTTTCAGACTTCAGATAACAAAAATAACTTGCATTTAACAATATAATGTGAATCACCTGAGTTTGCCACTGACTGAACCTACATCAAATGGGGAATGTCATAAATGGGGAATATCATAACCACTGCATGTAAGGAATTACTTGTGCTTTTTCTGCAATTAACTTTCATATCTGTATTCTAAAGAACAGACAAAAGCCAGAGTAGAACATTTTAGAAGATGGAAGACAAGTAGCTTACACAAAAACAATGGCAAACAGCTCTTCCTGAAGAGTTTTTCTGAATAGTCAGAACGATTTGGCATTTATCCTCATGTCTTACCCTACAGGTAGATAATGACACTATGAGGCTACTCAAAAGGTACAGATTTATTTCTGTGGATATGGATTTACACATATGTAATAATAGTTTTATATACCGTGATGGCCACTGTCTCGTCAGATTTTGAAACTCATAGCCAACTGTAGCCCATGCCTACCTGAAATAGAATACATTTAATGACCACATGTATATATATATATTATGACAAATCAACTTTTCAATATTTCTCAACCAGTTTTCTCAATAGTTTAATTGTGATCCACAACGCCTTTTAATTGCATAAAGTTCTTGAATTTTGGTCATCTTGAATCCAGATAACTAACATAAAGGAACTTGTTATGTGTGGAGTTTTTATTTTCACAATTCCTTCCGTTTGTAAAATTGCTGAACAACCTACATGCAAGGCATATATTTTTGTGAAATTCTATTTGAGACTACAAACTACTAAGGGACTGAGAAGTAAGATTTCCATTTTTGCTATCTTCTCTGCTTTCTGACACTTAATCCACTTCACATTTGGAAACTCTGTGAAGTCTATCTGGCTGAGAATGCTCTAGGCAAATGCTTTAAATAAACTCATGAATAAACTCAGTATTTTTCTTTCATTTTGGAAGCATCAAGGGGGAAGACCATATAAAGCAGAAGTCCATCAGAACAGATGCAATCACAGAATTACCACAACTGAGAAAACAGCAAATGCTGTGCTAGGAAGATTAATAGTAGACCTGAAATACGAATGGCTAGCTCTTTGAACAACATGCCCTTTTACACCTTTAACATTGTCCTATCTCAGGTTTAATTTCTCAGAAGCAATTTGAATTGCTAACTGAAATAACAATTTAACTAAATCAGGCCATTATATTTGGCAGTTACAATTGTTTAATAAATGCAAATTTCTATGAAGTAGTGTTAAATATTTATCTACTATTTGTAAACTCATTAAATATTTAGTGTAATAAAACTGCAGATGGCACATACATATAATCCCTCACTAAGCTATTCAAGGATAACAACAGTATAATACATTTTTAAATTTCCCTAAGTACAGCATATGCTTGCAATACCCCATCAAGACTGATAGTTGTCATGTTCAGTAAATTACTTGAGTTAAATGTTATCTGTACTCTATTCTCACTTTCTGTTAATGCTATATAAATAAAGCAATCAGAAAAAAAAAAAAAAAGAAAGAAAAAAAAAAAGAAAGAAAAAAAGGCATCTGTGAGTTACATGTATGAAGGCAGTACAGTTAACTTCCGGAGTTTTCCACTGAAGCCAAACATGATTTCAAGTGTTCTAGTATTCTTTCCTAAAAATAAATGAAAGAGCTGATCTCAAAGTAATGCCTCCTGTTTTGTTACACTGAC